AAAAAAAAAAAAAAAAAAAAAAAAAAAGGTTCAATAAAGTAGGACCCGGGATTTGGCTCAGTGGTGCCACCACCTGCCTCTCAAGTGCAGGGTCCTGAGTTCAATCTCCAATACTAAGAAAAAAAAATGTTTTTTAACATCAAAAGCTAATAGACGCAGGAATGAGGCAGGAGAATCACAAGCTGGAGACTAGTCTGAGTTGTACAGTGAGATACTGTCTCCAAAAAAAAGAACAGATGAGATCTGGCGCATTCAGGGTGATATGGCTGTAGACAAAACAACAATAAACAAAAGCTAACCTATAATCAATAGAAAAAAAAGCCAGAGTGGTGGTATGCCTATAATCCTAGCATCCAGGAGGCTGAGGCAGGAGGCTCTCCATGAGTTTGAGGGGCTACATAGTGAGTTCAAGGCCAATCTGAATTACATAGTGAGGCTCTGTCTCGAAAAAAAAAAACAAACAAAAATTAAATAAATTATATTTGGGAATATTTAGTATCAAAGGAGAATAGTGATAATAAGAAAACAGATAATTTAAAAAAAATAAAAGATAATGATCACATAGCTTTTGGTAGGAAAGTCAGAAAAAATATTAAATCTAAAGAAACTGAGTATTTTACATCCACACACAACTGAAGAACTTTGCTTAAGATAAAGAATCACAAGGTGGCAACTAGTCTTCTTACTGGATCCATGGGAAGGGTGAAGGCTGAGTAGTGCCTTTTGGGGCAGCCACAGATCCTACTGAACTCACTTGCCAAGGAAAACCCCCACCTAGTCATGAAATTTGCAGAGCCCTTCAATATTCAGGGTTAACTTCATCTGCTCCTGAAAAATTAAAGATTACATTTTCAAAAGGCTTTCATGTTCCAGTGACAATGCATGGACAAGCATCAAGGAAGCCCCTAGGATTCCTCTGGCTGAAAAAGAGAGCAGACTCAGACCCCTGAGTTGATGCAACAAGACCATGTTTAATGAACACTGAAGTTGGCAGTCAAGGCCTTGGACAGGGGGAGCTCAGAAGAGGAAGGAGGTGGCAAAGCCTGCACTGGGGGGAGCGGGTGATAGTCCCTCCCTGCACCTTTCAAGAGGGCCTCATGTGGTCCTGTCCATGAGAACAGGGCTGGAACACTGGTCTATTTCACAAGTGGAAAAGGTGAGTTCAGTGCAGGTTTACCAGCTTGCCTAAAGCCAAAAAGGATTCTTATCCTGCCTCCTCTATCTCCTGACCCCACTCAGAAAAGATGTGAGTGAAAGGGCAGGGAAGGATGACACCCTCTCAGAAGCCAGGCACAGATGTGGGATAGACTCGAAATGCCCTATGGGGATACAGAGGTGCCAGCTGCAGACATAAGGGGAATGGAAACTTGTCCATATGACCTAGGTCTCTAAGGCCCCAGAATGGCCACTTGGGTCATGCTTCTCCCCTCTGTGGTGCCTAGAGCCTCAGGACCAGCTGAGGGAGATCACAGAATAGGTGGGGAGGTGTATGGGTGGCAGGTCTCTCTCAGCACCTATATCCACCAGGATAATACAGAGCTCAGGCAGTACAGGGCCCAAGGGCCTGAAGGCTGCAAGGGAGAGGGGAAAGCACACAGAAAACCATGACATGTGGCCAGCCACAGCACCACACACAAAAGGGATAGAGGTAGGACATACATCCAGGCAGAGTGGCCCAAGAGGTGCTGCATGGGCAAGACCCAGCAGGTACAGGGCCTAGAAGGGAAGAGGGAGGTGGGACTGAGACAAGCAGGCCATGCTGAGGGATCTGGGTGTGACTCTAGACCTTCTCACTGCAGTAACAAGGAAGGGAAAGGGGCGACTGCAAAGACTGCAATGAGCTTGAGGAGGCCACCAGGCTAGAGAAGAAGGCTGAGAAGCTCCCATGAATCCAGGCATCTCTGGGCAGGTGCCTGGATATGGAGTTGGCTGGTCTAGGGTTAGTCAGAGTCCCTCTTGAGTTACTTCTTCAGGTGTGGACTTGCAGTGAGGCCCAGAAAGCTTCAGGCTCTGCAGAAACACAAAGGCACATGATGTCTGTTTCAGCCCCTGTCCCACGGGCCCCTCGTTGTTCCTGGAGTAACCAGGAGCCACAGAGCTCAGCACACATCTTGCCTTCCCCTCTCCTACCTGCAGCAGAAAATGTGGGCTGGCTGGGGAGCTTAGAGTGAAGTTTCTGCTAGAGAGGAACCTCTGGGGATGAAGGACTGAGTCAGAGGCTGGGGAGACACTCCTGGGGCAGGGATCTTGACAGGGAGCAGTGGCAGGGGTACCTGTCTCCTCAGTCCCTCAGATGAGAGCAGGGACCTTGGGAGGGGAGTAATGTCTTGAAGTACCAGCAGGGGGCACCATAGAGCCACACTTGGCTGACCCTTCACCTTTCCACCCCTACCACAGGGACTAAGGCTCCTTTGAGAAGACTTGGGCAGCAAAATATATCCCCTGCTCCCATCCTCATGGGCCTGGTCATGGGACACCTCCACAGAGAGCCATGGCCCTAGGTGGGAGAAGAGTGCCTCCTACACAAGCACTGGTGGGCCTGGGGGGTGCACAGTAGTCCCTTGAGGTCCATCCCAGAAGCAGGCAGGCTCAGGAGGCCTAAGTACAAGGCAGAGAGCCAATCTCAGCCAGAGGAGGCAGGGCAGCCTGGCTGCATGGATGCCCATGTGGGATCTACTTGCTCCCCGGGGGGTAGCTTGGCCTCAGTCCCACCACCCCACCACAGCAGTTCAGTCACCATCAGTGCAGGCCCATCACTGGATGTCAGGGTCTTGGAAGCCCCAGGCCTCCACCGCAGCAATAAGGAAGTTCTCAGAACAGAGAGGCTGGTTGTTGAAAGTGTCACAGTGTCCCGTGCGGCCCCGGTTCAGGTCTCCATCGATGTAGAGTGCCTGGCCGCCCCCTCCTCCTGCAGGATTGCTCAGGTCAGTGGCCATTCCTCTGCCCAACAGCACCCTCAACACACACACAACCATCAGCACTTTCCTCAAGGTGTCTCTGTTTGAGCATGGGCAATCTCAGCAGTTCTTGTCCTACAATGGCCTTGCTAAATAAACCACAGTCCCAGGCCTGGCTGTACAGGCTGACCCCCACTTCCCAGACTACTTCTCTCTTCCCTTATCCCTGGTCCACTTACAACCCAGGGCCTCTTTCTCTGCCATCACAGAGGCTTTAGCCACCCACAATCCCCTACCCTCCTCCCTGTGCTGGTGGGGCCCAGGATATCTGGAGGGTGAAGGTGCCCACCAACAATGAGGCAGTCATTGCCTCCGGCCATGAACATGGACTCAGTCTTGGAAGGCAGGTTGAAGTGCCGAGCAGCCAGGAATGGTGAGAGCCGGTCAGCGGGGTCTGAGGGGACAGGGTGGCTAAGTGGAGAGGGAGTGCTGGTCTCTGAGGACATGAAGTAGGTCGGCTTGGTCAGCTCCGGGTGCTTGATGACCACCCACTCGTAACGCTGCACCTCGGGCTGCAGCTGAAGGTGATTGAGCAGTGTAAGTTACTGACAGGCAGCAACCTGCTGAGCCTGTCCCCTAAAATCCACACTCAAACATTTGCTATGAACAAAGTCCTGAGCCAGAAATAGGAAAATCATGCAACACAAGATGAGGGCTATTCCTCAAAACAAGAAGTGAATGACGGCCGGGGATTTAGCTCAGTGGCACCATGCCTGCCTTACAAGTACAAGGTCCTGAGTTTGATCCCCGGTACCACACACACTCACAAAAACTGAATGAGATTATCCTACAGGGTAACTATATAATGAAAATAAAACAGGGCCATGGGAGCCAGAGTGCCCAGGGCAAAGGGCCTGCTGACTCCCAAGCTCCCATGGGAGCATCAGTGATGGTCAGGGGCAGAGAGAACCCTGGCCCAAAATTGGGGAGGGGCCATGCTCAGCACCACTCACCCTGAACACAAAGCATTCTCCGGTCCCAAAGAAGCTCAGTTTGCCGCCAAATTTATTTCTCTCACTCCAGTCAGTTGACAGGTAAGCTCCACACACCTGGGAGGAAGATGTGATGAAACCGCACCTTCATGCCCCCAGGAATATTTCCTTGTTTGGGTGTGCTGAGCAGCCCAAGTCACAGGTCTCAGCTGGCTGGGGGTGCTGTGTATCATAGCCCCTACCACCACCATGGGCAAGAGCGTGTGGGACAGGGTCAAGTTTGGGGAAATGCACTCCTTTCACACCACAGGTTAGGGCTGGGCATGGAGGTGAATGCCTCTGGATATTTTCATCTACTTCTGTGGCCTTCAAAGACAGAAGCAAGCTCTACATGGGGGGCCACATCCACACTCAGATTTTGGCATCAGCCCAGGGAGCTACAGATTTCACGATGGCTCTTGAAGCCAGGACCCAGGACTCCTTCTAGTCCCTCCTCACCTCCTTCTGTGTGGTCTTGATGAGTAGGAGGGTGGGTTCGTGTCCTTCACACTGGAAAAAGAACCTGAGGGCAGAGATCACACATGCTATTCTGGCCACCCTCTTCACTGGCTCCTGCCAGCCTCCACTGACCCTCAGGCTGGGCTGGGGACAGAGAGACTTTCATAGTCTTCTGCCACCATCTTATGTCCACACCCTAGGCAATGTCCTCCCCAGGTGCTCTTCTCATATGGCTCTTCTAGGCCATCCGGGACTATCCAGGTATGGACAGGGAAAAGCTTCACCACAGATGGTCCCCCAAGGGCAGAGCTGAGTGCCAGGTGCCTTAGGGAAGCAAGAACCAGAAGAACAGGTCCTCACTCTAGGAAGGCTCAGCATGTCCTTAGGAGCCTTGGCATGTGGGGAGGCCCAAGGCTGCCAGTGTGGTAGCCAGTGCTTGGCTGGCATCCCTGGTAAGGCTGAAAGTTGTTCCAGCTATGCCAAACTGTCTGTATGGCTGCAGACAGGGCCTAGAGCGGGAGATGGGCAGCTCTGTCTCCATCAACCCTGCTGTGATCCAAACGAGAGTAACTGAGACTTCCTACTATCTGAGACTCGAGTTGCTGGATGCCAGGTAAATCTGGCTAAGCTGCCTTGGTGAGACCCTTGAAGGAAAACCACATGAATGACTGGTCAAGAGCCACCTGGCCAGAGGCTAGCATAGGCATAGCCCCACAGAGGGCCACTCAAGCCAGGCTTGTGACCAATGTGGGAGGTAAGGAGTACAGGGAAGCCAGGGCCAGTTCTCCCTGTAGTTCTTCTCTAATGATTCTGTGAGCTCCTGACGTTGAAATTCTGTTTCCCATGCTTATGTGGGGCACCAAGTATATATAGTAATGACCTTCAAAGTCTAGGTGGCCTGAGAATGAAAGAAACCTAGAGAACAGTCTCCTGGCTCTCAGGCCCCACAGGAAGAGGCAGGGGTCTAGGTTCAAATGCTCATCTCTAGCCACCCATGTCACTTCCCAAAAATGGCAAGCAGGATGTGCCTGGGGGACTACAGCCTCCTCAGGCCTCACCTGGTCAGGCTGTACCCATGCTGCAATGAGGAGAAGAGCAGGAGGGGCTGGCAGAGGGCGAATCGTTCAGGGACCCAGGACCAGATATCTCTCATCTCCTTCACACTGACGATCTCTGAGCGAAAGTTGTCTGCATGGACGGCTAAGTGCACAAACTGCCTGGTGAGAGCAAGAGGAGTCAGAGCCTGCGGTGATCTTGTCCCTGACCACACCCTCACCTCAGACTCCAGAGCTTCTCTTTAGAACTAAGCTTGGTGGGGACATCTCACCTATTCAGCCAGGTTTATAGCTTGGTTCTAGATCCAGTACAGGGAAAAAGAAGGTGAGGCTTTTCTCAGAAGACCCCCCTCCCACCACTACAAAGAGCGGAGAGCAACCAGCCAGGGAAGCAGGTGGGGCAAAGCACCTTTTCTCTAAGAAATCAGAACGAAAGGGAGTCGGCTCTGGAAAGACAAGGCTACAGGGCCAGCCAAGCAGCAGCAGACCACACAACTGAGGCAGACAGACATAGACGAATGGTATCTAAGTCAGGTTGAGGCAGCGAGCAGAAGCCAGCCTGTGAGAGCCTAGGAAACAGCAAGCGGCCGGTCCAGTGCTGCCGGCAGGAAGGCAGAGAAGCAAGGAATGGAGGTATGATTTCAGACCTACCTTTTAGAAAGTGAAACACTGAAAAACAGGAGGAAGCAACCAACACAGAGAAGAAAAATAAAACAGACAAGGAGAGGTTAGTGGCGGGTACCAAACCCTGGATGTGCTTTCCTTTGGCCCTGGAGGAAGAGAACTAAATAGCAACAGCCACACCTACAGCATGATCACAGCATCAGCTGCCAAACACCATGGCCCGGCCCAACCCTAATCCCTAGCTAGTGAAGCAATGTCCAGCCACTACAAGAATGACCAGCCATGAAGCCCAAAGGGCTCCCCGACATGACCCCTGGGAGGCCAACCAGGAACTTCTGACCCCCAAAACTGTCCACTTTCCACTTCAGCTGTGAACTTCCATCCCAAGTCCTCACCTGTCTTTCTATGGCTATAACAAGGAAGGATCTTCCTACTTTCCAATGTCTTTTTACCCACATAGGGATAGGTGAATAAGACAGATGGCCAAGAGTGTGGTAGAATAAGCTCATATCACCAAGATGCATTCCACCAAAACCTTGTACTCTTGTGCGAACCCTTCTCAGCCTTGGGACATGCACATGCGTGCACGTGGCCTTGCCTACCTCTTCTGCTTGACAGTGATGCCCTTCTGCTTCAGTGCTTTCTCATTAGCCATCTGTAGGAGGTGGATCTCCTTGCGGGAGAAGAGGCGAATGGCAAACGCTTTTTCTAGCAGCTTCTCAGGGGATACTGTCTTGGCAATATCCTTGACAAACATGCGGATGTCATGCTTCACGTTGTCTGATTCGAGAGGCTGCCCTGCTCTCACCTTGTGGAAGAACTTGAGGATGGCCAGGGCAACACGGTATAATACCTTGTAGCCTTCCACAAGGAAGACATCGAAGACACGGGCAAAGTAGTTGAGGGGTAGCTCACCAAAAAGCCAGCGCTGCCAGTCGGAGTAAACTTGCAGCACATCCTCTGACACAGCCACCATCAGCTTGTGGGCTGCCTGACAGTACTTGTTTACCAGGTCTCCAAACGTCATGCAGGATGACTCAAAGGCCAAGAAGCTCTGGTCGATGAGCTTCTTGCTGGGGTCATTGCAGGCCAGGATGCGGCAGGCCTTCTCAAAGCATTCAGCCTCATCAATGCTATAGTGGAGCAGCAGGGCCACCACAGCCGGCAGCGCAGGGCAGAAGGAGATGTCAGGGAACTGGTTGGCAATGCACAGGAGGATCTTGCGCACAGCCCCCTCACCCCGGGCATTCAGGCAGTAGTTAGGCACCTGAGTGTTATCCACAAACTCTGGCAAAGGCAGGCTGCTGCTGCTGCTGTGCTTCCCTACAATCTTGCCCACAATGTCACTGTACACACTGGCATCCGGTGTGACTGTGCGGCAGGGGATGTCCCGGATCAGGCGCTGGTATACCTTTCCCCTCAAGGCGTGGCTCTGAGCCCAGAAGCCCTCTCGAGCCAGCTGTTTCAGCTCCTGCAGCTCAGTCCAGCTCAGCTCCTTTGGTCCCAGATCCTGGATGGCAGCATCCATCTTGTCTTTGTCTACAAAGCAATTGTACCCTGGGGAGTCCATGGTGTCTGGTGTGCCCAGGAGGAGACTCTGGACTGCCAGGTTGGGAGCAAAGAGTGGCTAAATCCTTCAGCCCCCTCTCCAGGGTTTTTCTGATAATCTGACTGCCATTTTACACCCTGTAGGATTAAAAACCATTTTCATTTGTATGTTTGAAGGTGATTTTTTTTTTTTGAGTCAGGGTTTTGCTATGTCATTCAGGCTAGCCTTAAACTCACTATGTAGCCCAGGCTGGCCTCAAACTCATGGCAATCCTCCTCCCCCAGCCTCCCAAGTGCTGGGACTACAGGTGTACACCTCCAAGCCCAGCTTAAAGGTGCACATTGTTTGTGGAAAAAAAAAAAAGGTGTACATTCTAAGAACTTTTTTGTCTGTTTTGGGTTATTTTTTCTTCTTCTTCTTCTGTTTTTTTTTTTGTTTTTGGTACCAGGGATCGAACTCCAGTCCTTGTGCTTGCAAGGCAGGCAGCGGAACCACTGAGTGAAATCCCAAGCCCTACTTTTTTGTTTTAATCTTTCTATAAAAGTACTAGAGGGCTGGGGATTTCGCTCAGTGGTTCTGCCGCCTGCCTTGCAAGCGCAAGGTCCCAAATTGGATACCTGGTACAAAAAAAAAGGTACTAGAAATGTCACACCCCTGTAACCCCAGAACTCTGGGAGGATAAGGCAGCAACATTCCAAGTTTGAACTCAGTCTGGTTAACTAAGCAATTTAGTAAAAACCTGTCTCAAAATAAAAAATAAAAAGTGCTCGGTGTAGCTCAGTGTGAAGGACTTGAGTTCAACTCCCAGTACTGAAACAAAACAAAACAAAAATACTAGAAGGGGTTCCATTTAAGATATGAGGTTGTTCTGAGAAGTTATTATGAACTTCAGAGAGTAACTTATTTTCACAGATCTCATGTATTACTGGAACACATCACACAGTTTCCAAGTACTGAGAAGCTAGAAAAAAGATTCCAAGAAGCACTTCAATAACTGCTGCAAACAGTGCTCAGCTCAGGGAGGTCCCCTCTGGATCCTAATGACCACCTTGTAACCTGGGCCCTTTGGTGAAGGAGCCAAGGATTAAGAGGAAGGAGCCCATTGACTAATGCCTCCTTTCAGCCCTTTGGGGTATCAGGCCTTCAGCCAGCTGTGAACTGAAGATCCACAATACTCTGTCCCAAAATGCCCAAGCTGGGATTCTGAAGCCACCATTTAACTTTCTTAAATGGCAAGCTTGGAAACTAAGTTCTAGGAAAGTAACTTCAAGTAAATTACAAAACAGAGAGCTGAGAATCAAGTGGAAGGTACCACAGTTTCAAAATTAGACATTTCTAAGCCAAGTGTTATAGCACATGCTTGAATTCCAGCTACCTGAAAGGCTAAGGCAGGAAGATTACAAGCTCAAGGCCAGCCTGGGTAACTTAGCAAGACTCTGTCTCAAAAAACTAAAAGAAGCCTGAGGATGTTGTCCAGTGGTACTGTGCCCCTAGTTTCAATCTTCAGTATTAAAAAGACAAAAATTAGACATTTCTGAGTCCAAATGAGACGGAAGTCTTAGGGAATTTGCTGCTGGCTCACCATGATAATAACTGTTATGACTCAGGTACATACAAAAGAAACAGGTAAGATATGTACTTGAGACTCTGAGCAGGGCACTATAATGGGAAATTTGCTGCTCTAGAGCCCACAGCTTACACCAGCCTTTGCCAAAGGGTAGTCTTGGGCACACAAGCTCAATATTCACCCACACCCATCAGACTAACCTTTCCACCTGTAATGGTATAAGTGCCCAGGTCACAGGGTCAGCTTTGGTGGGTTTTGGTAAGTGAACACACCATTCCAGTTTCTCTTGCATCTAGAATACTCATCTAAAAATAGAAAAAGCAAATACTTTATTAAAACAATGAGTGAAGGGCTGGGGATTTAGCTCAGTGGCACTGCACCTGCCTTACAAGTGCAAGGTCCTGAGTTTGATCCCCATACCAAAAAAACAAACAAAACAATGAGCGAAAAGTAAAGAATTATAATGTAAAGTCTATTTTTTATAGCAAAAAAATTATTGGTACATTTTAGGCATACATAATGATATCACTCATCATAGGAAGTCTGCACCTGTACTTGATACATCCCACCTTTTTTCTCATATGTACAAATGCTTTGTTTCCATTTTTCCTATTTTCACTTTTTTTCTTGTCCTTTCCTTCCTCCCTCCCTATTCCTTTGTTCCCCTGCCCATTTGAACATTTTCTTCCCACTTCCCAATATCTATTATACATTTTAGTCCTTTTTCCACCTTTGGTTTCTCACACCAGAGAAGTAATGCGCTATTTAAACATATGGGTCTGTTTTTTTTCATTTAAGAGTAAGGTCTTAAGGTCTATACATTTAGCTAAAAATGTCTGAACCTCGTCCTTCTTCGTGGAAGAGTAGTACTCCATTGTTGTAAAAAACCACATCATCTTTATCCATTCATCAGCTGATGGGCATTTGGGCTGCTTCTAAGATTTAGTTATTACAAAATTGTGCTGCTATAAACATGGGTGTGCATATCACTGTGGTAAAATGCTTTCTTGAAGATACCAAGAAGGAGTCTAGCTGAGTCAAATGGAACCTCTAGTTTTAATGTTTTGAGGAATCCCCACACTGATTTCCACAGTGGTTGCACCAGTCTACACTCCCACCAACAGTGGAGATGGGTTCCTTTTTTCCCACAGCCCCTCCAGCATTTGTTGTTGGTTGATTTCTTGTTTTTGTTTTTTGTTTTTTTTTTGGTCCCGGGGATTGAACTTAGGTCCTTGCGCTTGTGAGGCAGGCCACCGAACCGCTGAGCTAAATCCCCCGCCCGTTGGTTGATTTCTTGATAGCAACCATTCTTTCTGAAGTAAGATGGAATTTCAGTGTTAATTTGTATTTCTCAAGTTACCAGTGATGGTGAACATTTTTCCATATATTTATTTGCTGTTTCTACTTCTTCATCTGAGAATTGTCTTTTCATTTCAGATGCCCATTTTTGGATTAGGTCTTTAAATTTGGGGGGATTCTGATTTTTTTGAGCTCTTTATATGTTCTAGATAGTAGTCCTTTGCCTGATGAATAGCTGGTAAAAAAATTTTTCCCCACACTGTGGGTTTTCTCTTCACTATGGTGGTGGTTTGTCTTGTGCAAAAGCTTTTGAGTAAGATGAGGTCCCAGTTGTTTATTCTCTGTAGTATTTCCCATGCAGTCTGGGTTTTATTCATGAAGTCTTTGCCTACTCCTATGTCCTCAATTGTTCTACCTATTTTCTCTTCCAGCAGATTTAGTGTATCTGTTTTAATGTTTAAATCTTTGATCCATTTCATAAAATCTAATGTTTTACAAAAGCACCTTGATGTTGTGGTTTTTTTTTTTTTTTTTGGTACCGGGGATCAAACTCGGGTCCTTGCGCTTGCAAGGCAGGCGGTGGAACCGGTGAGCTAAATCCCTGGCCCTTGATATTGTGTTTTGCTCTGTTCAGTTTTGAGATAGGACCTCACTATGTAGTACAGGTTGGCCTTGAACTTGTGATCCTCCTGTCTCAGCCTCCTGAGTGCTGGGATTACAGGTGTGTACCACCATGCCCAGCTGATGTTTTGTATGTGTATGTGTGTGTGTGTGTGTGTGTGTGTGTGTGTAAAATATACACAAAACCATTTCAACCATTTTAAGATTCCAATTCATTGATATTAAGTACCTGTATGTTGCTGTGCAACCTTTGCCACAACCATCTCCAGAACTATTCCATCTTCCCAAACTGAAACTGGCTTCATTAAATATGAATCCCAACCCCCTCCTAAGCATCCAACATCTCTATAGTATCTCCATAAATTTGGCTTCTCTAGCAACCTTGTATATATGAACCATATAGCATTTGTCAGTTTGTGACTTACTTCACTTAGCAAAATGTCCTCAGTGTTCACCCATGTTGTAGAACATACCTTAAGGACTTTTTTTCCCCACTACTGGGGACTGAACTTAGGACCCTGCACTTGCAAGGCAGGTACAGGGCCACGGAGCTAAATCCCCGACTCAACCTTCCTAATTTCTTGTACTAGAGTTTGAACCCACGGCCATTTCACTAAGATGAATACTCAGCCCATTTTTTATTTGTTGCCCAGTCTGGGCTTGAACTTGTGATCCTCCTCCCAAAGCCACCCAGAGTTCTGAGTTATAGGTGTGTGCCACCATACCTAGGATTTCCTTCCTTTTTTACTTTTGTTTTTTTGGGAGCTACTGGGGCTCAAATGCCTAAGTGCTCTGCCATTGAACTATGTCCCTAGCCCCTTTTTGAGACAAAGTCCTGCTAAGTTGCCCAGGCTGGTCTTGTGATCCTCCTGCCTCAGCCTGCCAAAGTGATAAGATTATAAGTATACATCAATGCACATGGCTCATGTCCTTCCTTTTTAAGGCTCAGTGACCGTCCATGGTATGGCTAGACCACAATTTGTTCATGTATGGATGGACATAGGTTGCTTCTACCTCTTTGCTACTGTGCATAATGCTGCCATAAACATAGGTGTATAAATAGCTGAGCCCCTACTTTCAATCTTTCAGATCTCATTAGTATGTTTTCAGAGGGACCTCCCCATAGAAAACATTACTTAAAACTATGTTTCTGACACAAGCACTAAAATAATATTAAATATACCATGTCCCCTGCAAAAGCATGCCGTACATAGCAAGGCCAGTCCTGCTGCTGGGATCAGGACCTTCTTTCTCAGTAGAATGGAAACCCTTAAGGCAGTCTGTCTCCAGAGGTGCTTTTGTCTCAGGAGTGGCAGAAGTGAAAGTTCCTCTTCCCTCGCTCTGAAAGCTGCACCAACAGGCCGACCTGCATCCCCTGGCCATGGCCAGGGTACATTACACAGTCTTCCACAGTCCAGTTATCAATAGTTAAATCCTTCATTCAGGGCTCTTGGATCATAAACTTCTGCAGCAACACCAGGCCTGTCCTGTCTGGGTGAAAAGAACTGGCTCCTTCTCAGCATGTATAAGCAGAATGAGAGATGGGCACAATACTGCCAACCTTCAGTTGACTGGCCCAGACTCAAGTTGAATATTAAACTAAAAACTTTAAAAGTGATTACTATACTTTGTAAAGCATTCCTTCAAGGAGAAGCAGATGAAGAGCATTGTTTGCTGTAGCAAGAGGTCCAGGGACAAGCTGGATTCATAGAGAAAATGAGGCAAGGAGACTCCCTTACGCAGCTTCCTCCTCCTCATATCCCCACCCAAAAGGAGGGCATCATGTTTCTGGGACCCTCAAACAAGTCTTGTGCTGACTTCTTCAAGGCATTAATTAAAAACGAACCCAGGGTGGTTCCCTTAGGCATTTATGTTCATATATATATATTTTTTTTTTTTTTTTGAGACAGAGTCTTATTATATAGTTCAGGCTGGTCTTGAACTTGTGGTGATCCTCTCCTCTTAGGCTCCCAAGTGCTAGGATTATGTAACATCATGCCTGGCTAGTTCCTTTAGGCTTTTAAAAAACATTTTATTATATGTAAATGCATAATCACAAAGGGTCAGACAAGACTAAATTACAGAGTAAAACTCTAGAGTTCTGTTTAAATTACTCACCTAGTCTTATCCTCCTCCTATGGAAAGAGAACCACCACAAACACTTTGAAGCCATTTTCCTGGCTGGGGATTTAGCTTAGTGGTGCTGCCTGCCTCAAAAGCAGAAGGTCCTGAGTTCGATTCCCAGTTAAAAAAAAAAAGAAGAAACATTTTGCTTGCATTTAAAGACCCTCTGTAAGTATACACATACAATTACAATGGAGATCTCTTTTAAACTGGTCACTGGAATAGGTAAGTAAAAAGAGGCAGGAAAATCACTAAAAATATAAAATGAGCCAGGCTTGAGCACTCACACTTTGGAGGTCTTTTGGCACTGCTGAGGATCAAACTCAGGGCCTCCCCCATGCTAAGCAAGCAACATGAGCCCTATCACTACACTGCACCCCCAGCTCAAGAACAAGAGTTTTTATAAGTGAAGTGACTTTTTTTCTGATGGCCCACCTAGCTTGCTGCTATTGCAGAGGTTACACACCATACCTGCTTCCCCAAGCAGGCAAGGCTTCACCTGCTTCCCCAGCTCTTGACAAAGGTGTCATGCCTGGAGCTTATCCAGGTGACCAGGGGGAGAGAAAGAAAGCAGGAAGAACTATGAAGTTAGACAGGCCTGGTTTCGAAGTCCAGCTCTGCCACTTATTTGTGTGAACCTCGGATAAGCCATGAATTGTACCCAAACTGCAGTGGCCTTGTCTGTAAAATGTATCTAATAAATAATTCACAACCCTCACATGCTGGTTTCCAGGCTGTACCTATGGGTTCAGTTCTGACTCAGCCCCCTGGGTGGGGTGCAAGTGACATTAAGGTGACACAGCATATATAGTACACCCCATTCTCTGCCTCTTCTTTGGGGGCCACACAGTAGAGCAGTGCCTTCACCAGCTATGACACAATTCTCTTGGGAAACTACTCTCTCTTGACCACAAACATTACACTCTCCTAAAGTCCTATCCCCGCAGCCTCAAGTTCAAGGTAGAGGACAGTGAAGGGATGGGCTCTGAGGTTCCATCTTCAGAGCCTGCACGGTGACATCTCTGGCCAGCCCTAGTGACCTGCAACTAACTCTCTTAAGTTTGGAATGCGTGAAGCACTCTGACTTCTATCCTGCAATTTGGGCCTCACTGTTAGTTTCAGGAAAGTAGGTAAAATTCTATTTTGATGTCCTATTAAGACTCACAGGGCCGGGATTTAGCTCAGTGGTTCCACCGCCTGCCTCGCAAGTGCAAGGACCTGAGTTCAATCCCCAGTACCAAAAAAAAAAAAAAAAAAAAAA